TTTCTGTCACTGACTATTGCCTTCACTTTCCCTTTTTGTACACTCTTTTCGGGAGTCTTTGAAACATTTGGTGATGTAGTGAAGCTGTCCACCTCTTTTGTTATCGGAGAAGTTGGAGTAGATATCTCTTCAGCATTGGTCATCATGATAGATTCTACTATACCGATGTCAATGGGGATCGGACCAACCATAATTTGCACTGGTCGTTGATCCTTGATCTTAACAGCTTCTGCAAGACAAGTCTTGACAGTCTTGACTGTTTTGACCTTCGCATTCTTAACGATCTTCGGAAGGAGAACAAGTACGGTCTTCACAGCCTGCTTAAACTTTCTTTTAGCAGACCTTGCTTGTCTCTTCTTCAATCCTTTGGCAGCCTTACCACAAAGAGCCTTCAAGGATTGCTTCCCTTTGGAAACCTCAAAAAATTTTGGAACTATTGCAGCAACAGGTGCCCTAGTGATCGCAAAGGTCATTTTAAACCCCACCTTCTTCTGCTCCCCAGCAATCCTAACAGATGGGAGTTGGTGGAAGTACACAGTAACTTGTGGTGCCATTCTGCAAAATAGAATGACGCAAACGGTTATATTTAAATGATTATTATAATAAAATGTTACCATTATAACCGGAGATGAAAAGGAGAATGGGTCCCACCGGGCGTGCCAAAAACTATGTTGAGTGAAAAATATTTATTAATGTTGAAATAATATTTCAACACACAACATAATTTCACCTATCCTAGGATTTAACTAGAATAGGAGTTTATTATTTTTAGTTCGACCCATCCAAGATTATAAGAATAACCTCTTAATTACAATCCCTTGGTACAAGCGAACACCTTTTGATTCCAGTTAAAACGGTAAATACTATTTTTTGTGAATTTGGGAAATTTGGGTTGATTTAAAATTGCGGCTGAACTCAGTGAATTTTGTCGAGTTGCCTACATACCCCGTTAAGGGATCAAGCCACTTGTAGTTCGAATTTTGGGTTTGAGAATTTGGATAATTCCTCGGTGTATGACCTTATGAGGAATTTACGCACTTTGAAGTTTGATTTAGTTTTGTTTTGACTTTGTCCTTTATGAGGATTTTTTTTTAGATTGAATTTGGTCTTGAAACTGCACCTAAATTTTAGGTTGCCTACGTATCCGAGAGGGGATCAAGTCAATCGTAGTTCAAATTTTGGTTTTGAAAATTTTAAATAATTCCTCGGTGTATGACCTTATGAGGAATTTACGCACTTTGAAGTTTGATTTAGTTTTGTTTTGACTTTGTCCTTTATGAGGATTATTTTTAAGACTGAATTTGATCTTGAAATTGCACTTGAATTTTAGGTTGCCTACGTATCCGAGAGGGAATCAAGTCAATCGTAGTTCAAAATTTTGAATTTGAATTTTGGAGAATTCCTCGATATATGACCATAGGAGGAATTCAGGAGCGAATTTGATATTGAAACTGCACCTAAATTTTTAGGTTGCCTATGTATCCCATAGGGAATCAAGTCAATCGTAGTTCTTGCTTTTGGATTTTGAAGAATTCCCCGATATATGACCATAGGAGGAATTCAGAGATGTTTTAAAATTCGATTTGGAATTTTACTTTAGAATTTGGATTTGAAAGTTGTATTTGGATAATTCCCCGGTCCCGGTAAATGACCTTTGGGGGATTAAAAGGATCCTTTTTGAATTTGGTGTTGAGATTTTTTTATTTGAATTTGGGATTTGAACATTGTATTTAATCACCATATGGTTTTATGAGACAATGGGCTCATTTTTTTGGGCTTAGGGACTATAGAGGGGCCCAATTTGTGCACTTTAAATTTTAAGGTATTTAATATTATGAATTTATTTTGAGATTATTGTCTTTTCTCTATATATTTTTTTATTTCAAAATTCAAAATCAATTCTACCATTTGAATTAGATTTGTTATGATTTGATTTGTTTTGACTGATCTTCTAATCTCAAGAGAAATTAAAATCCCTGATTTATATATAAGTCACAACCGCATAGCAAGCGTCAGCCAATTTTTCTGCAAACGCATAGCAAGCCCAGCAAGCATTATTTCTACACTTCCCTTTCTTATATATAAGTCACAACCGCATAGCAAGCGTCAGCCAATTTTTCTGCAAACGCATAGCAAGCCCAGCAAGCATTATTTCTACACTTCCCTTTCTTATATATAAGTCACAACCGCATAGCAAGCGTCAGCCAATTTTTCTGCAAACGCATAGCAAGCCCAGCAAGCATTATTCTACACTTTCCCTTTCTTATATATAAGTCACAACCGCATAGCAAGCGTCAGCCAATTTTTCTGCAAACGCATAGCAAGCCCAGCAAGCATTATTTCTACACTTCCCTTTCTATACACACCACGCACTGCAAAACAAAGTGTAACTTTTATATATATATATATATATATATCAGCCAATTTTTCTGCAAACGCA